ATCCATCTCCGTGCCCTGTTCAAAACAGCAAATTTTGTAACCAACATGAAATTCAAAGGTTTGGAAAGGAAAACTTTCTACAGACAATTATTGTGAGAGCTGTTCTTGGGCTAAAATTCAGTGTTCTGAAAATATCTGGAGTCTCAGTGAGACTTTTACTCCTAAGTGGGATTCTTTTTCTTATTTTTGCCTCACTTCTGAACACGAAGTGGTAGAAGCCCACAGCTCACTTTAAAGAAAGCCTGCCCTGTGAACTGTGGTGTCTCTCTAGGAGCATGCAGAAAGGTAGGGAAAAAATCTGCAGCTCACTGTCTTCTTCAAACTGTGCAGATGCTAACAGTACACTTGACAATATAGGTGAAAAGCTCAAAATACCCACAGTAAAAATCCTTTTCCATGAGAAAATTCAGAGTAGATCAGAGTGCTCTATAAATTCACATTCTTTATGCACTGACTTTCCTTGGTTAGATCTTTCCTAAAACACCTAATGTCCAATGGATTTTCTCAATGTGGTAGCAAATGCATGTTTACTACCCTGACATTAAACCACAGGGAAGAATTGGCCCAAGAAATGCAGATATCCATCCATCCATCCATCCATCCATCCATCCATCCATCCATCCATCTCATTTAATCCTTAAATCAGTTGCTATTGTATGTTGATATATCCACTGCAAGAGGCAGAATGGGGAAAGAGCCTTATTCCCTCTCCCTGAGAATCTCTACCAATGGCAAAAGTCATGTAAGGATTCATCCTCACTTCCAAAAGCATCTTGCGCCACATCAGCACAGAAATAAAGAGGGTGCCATCATAAAACTTCTGAAAAAGGAAATATCCCTGACCTATGGCTCCTGCATCATGTTGTCTGCTCTGTTCCTAGTCCAGAATTTCATCTAACTACACAGCATGCTGACCTCTTGAAACAGGCATCAGGCCCAGACCATGATCTTGCATATCTTACTAAAACTTTGGAACACACCCATCAAAAAACCTCTGAATTTACATTTTCATAAAAGAACAGAGTTCCCTTCAAAAACAAAAATTTGAAGAATAGGCTGTGAGAAAGCAGTGCATAGGAATTAGAAAGAAAATAGAAAACCAAAGGCAAAGTGTCTAGAGACAGCTACAAATGGATAAATACTGGTGTAATATTCCTGATTCATAGGAGCAGAAGACATACTTGTTGCTCCAAAATGTGGTATAATTCCAAATTGTAAAAAATTCCCTTTCTCATTAGATGAGATTCAAAGTATAAAAGGTAATGTTGCAATTTTTCAACTGGAGGTGAATAAGACTTCAAAAATCTAGTCCTGGTTAGTTTGGAATTAGATGGTTAGTTAGGAAGAAAATAACCATAAATTAATTCTGACCTCAAGTTAACTGTATCTAAATTTAACATTTTCTGTAGGCTTTCAGAAAAATATCAAAACTCTTAAGTATATCAATATTGTAAATAAAATTGTCTTTAGAAACACTAAAAAGAAACAAATCCAAACATAACATAAACACAACTTTTTAGTTCTGTCATCTAGTGGTTTGAGTGTTGTGTTGAATTCTACAAATGATCTTTGCAGGAAACAGGCTATTTTTGCCTAAATTAGAACACTAATGAGGATGTGGTTTTAAACAGCATGATAGAGACATAGATTAAAGTTGAGAACACTAGTAGGTAAATACAATAACTCTTCCATTCCATTGGATGATGTTTTTCACCTAATGTAAGCACTAATCACTGAAACAGATTATAATTATATTTATTTCAATGATATTATCAAAACATCATTTAACCAAAATAGTATTTCTGTAGTTCTTCCTGGCATATTTGCCTTGCCTACTTCAAATCTGTTACCCTTCATTATATAGTTATCCACTATAGATTTGTTGCTTTTATTTTTGTACTTTTGACCTTCATTACTAATATTATTTCCTGGATTTACAAAAAATGCAAATTATATGTATTCATTATATGTATCGGACACACTTCACTAAAAAAAAATCTACTAGGTTTCAGTCATATAGTGTTTGGAAATGATAACGTCACTTTTAGCTGGAAGATACTCTATTTCACTTCTGATTCAAAATCACTGGCAAGTACCGAGCAGACTTCCATAGGTGTGGGACTGGGCTCCCGTTCTAGTTCCACCATGGTAAACACTGTTAGATTAGACTACAGTCATATTCACAAGCTCTGAATCTCCTGAAAACCATGGAAGTCTGAACATACATCACGTGCATGGTACAGAAAACAACACAGTAGCTGTCTTTTGTACAGCTGGCTCGTTTATTTTTAAAGCTGACTTTGTTGCTCTAATTCCCTTGCAAAGACTTTTGAGGTTCTTTGCATTACAAATGAAGAGTTACTTTGGGTGTAACCTCCAGAGCCTTTTCAGAGAGAGGAGAGGTTCTGGTGACATTATGTACGTACAGTTTATACTACAGAGAAGACCTCTAGCCAATGTAATAATGCCTGGGTGGAATGATAAATGCTGACCACATGCAATTCCCATTGATTTGCAGCTGTGTGTGCTCAGGAGCTGTTGTGGTTTAAAGTCCAGTGTGGTACACGATGATCCAAAAATTTAGTTCATTTATTGGAAAAAGGTAAATGAACAACAGAAGTCTTAGTTTGGTTTATCATTTGGGAAAATGGTCCTTTGGCTTTTTTGGTTTGCTTTTTTAAAATTACTCAATTTATAATAGTACAAACCCTGGCATAGAAAGTGATCTAATAGCATAATGAGCACAGCTTATGCACAGTGTTTGTAGGGAACAGATACACACATCTCCCGCTCCACCATTATGTGTGACTCTATGTATAACATGGGGAATTAGGGTTAGTTCATCCTTACAGAGAAAAATTAAAGTACTAATAGGTTACAGTGAAGCCATCTTGTCTGGAAGCTGGTAAGCACACTGCTACAGTATGTTCAGTTTCTGGAAGAAATTTTGGCTGCTGGCTGTACTGTAGAACCACTTTGTAAACCTGGGTCAGTCATGTGTGTGCAACAGACCCACTATGTCAGCCTCTCCAGCACATCCCTTGGAATGAAATTTTCCTTAATGTAGAGGTCCAGATCATCCCACTTTCCTGAGCTTAAATGGGTTTGATCACAGTATCTTTGAGTAAGGAATCTCACTCAAACTGCTTTTGATGGAAAACAAAACTTCCAAGTAACAAGGCATCCTCCTGTTGACTCCTGCTATTGGAGCCAGGGACCCTAAGTGTATTCCCACTGTCCTCTTGAAAAGATGCACTATGTCAAAATATTCTTCTTCGCAACAATCTCCTCAGTTTAGATGCAGATTTCTCTGTTAAGATGAAAAATCTTTTCTTGCTGAGTCATTAATGTCATATATCCTCATTTGCCAAGTGTGCTGTTAGCTGGAATACATATGAAACCTGCAAAAAAAATCTCATTGGCCTTTGTTCAAATTCATGGAAACCTACAAGAGATTTTACTTTCTTCACTAGCTTATATCAAATCAGACTGAAGCCGTACCAGCTTTTAAATTGCTACAGCATCTGATTTGTCTATGTTGACTCATTACAATTCTGAAAAAAATCACCTCTGACCACTAACAAAGGGGGTAGTGTATCTTGAGAACTCTGTGTATGACTAACTGACATATACAATAAATACAAATGTTACTACAGTAACAGATTGAAATTATATAGTTCATTTAAACCTTTTTCCAACTTCAGCTTAGTCCCCGCTAAAGCACACAGGAAATAAACATATTGAGCTGTCTGGCACCAGGCAACTATCCAGGTCCTGTTCTGTCTAGCACTGTGCTAGGCTTATCCATCTAATCAACATTAGGAGGTTTATTTATGTGAGACAGATATATTAGTAATAAATGAATTTATTCAGTAGCTTGGTGGATTTATACATGTACAAAGTCATTTTAGTTTAAGCAGACTTAAAACTGAGTGACGCCACTAGTTTTACGGGCTGTATCCTGAAGCCCTTAGCACATTCTAGTCTCTTCTTCACAAGAAAAAAAAAGTACAACCCAAACCCCAAAAAACCCCAAAACAAAAAACCAAAACACATCACTAAAACAAAGCACTAATTGAAGTCAATGGAATGTTTACTGGAGGAAAAACTGCAAAAGACTTAAGAACTGGTGAAATGCAAGTGAACATGAAGCTAGCTAAATGGCATTTCAAAGGGTAGTGGTATATTTATATACATTGTATGCAATATTCCATGTATAAAAGTCTGTTTCAATTTTTAAAGCCCAAGATAGTTTGTAGAAGAGAAACAGCTGACAGAATTCAGAAGGGATATCTGGGTTTTCTTCATCACACCTATTTGTACTTTAGACAGACTTTGTTTTAAGGCATTAATTTGACATGCGAGTCAGGTCTGTGCTACGTTGAAGACTGTTTTCACTGATTCCTCTGTTGTTTTTTGGAAAACAAGACTGAGAATTCTCTTAGTGCTAAGGTTTATCCATTTCAATCAGACAGTGAGTGGCACATTCCCACCTCATTCGCAGTTTTTAATTCCAATTGCTTTTGAAATGTCCCTTTTCCTTCCCCCCTTTATGCTGCCACTTGAAAGTTGAAATGCAGCAAGAATGTAACGTTAGGTGCCAGTTTTCTGAATTACAGGGTGACTGCTTTAGCTGATCCCAAAAAGCAAGTGTCTTTTTATACCGCATAAAAGCCTGAAATGTTTACATATCAAAAGGCTATAGGCCAATTTCTGTCAAAATTATACATGAAGTTAAGCAGTACAAGCAATTTATTTAAACACTAGTCATTGTAGAAAAATTCAAAACCATATGCTCCTTTAGCAGTTTTTCACAAATGCATTTGACCCATGACTTGGCAAGACATGCATGCTTCATAATTTACTCTAAATTTCAAATCCTCTTGACATTTAAATAAAAGATCTTCATTAATAAAGTTTATATGAATGAAAACTTTAGAAGCTGATATTGTTAGAGGGAAGCTTTCAGAAAAATACCCAACCGCTTTTCTGCCTCGTTTTCAAATGACTGACTCTCCTAATCAGTTCAAGATAAGTTTATTCTGGGAACAAATTACGGTAATTTCGCATTGTATGACTTTTATACTTTTTTTTTTTTCCTGGTGAAGCAATGATGCAATCAGTTTGAAACAAACGTGAGGAACGCCGCAGGGTGATGGCATTTATAAGTGAGAGATGCGCCGCGAAGCGCCGTTTCGCCGCCGCTGATGCCCCGAACCCCTGGTTCACCCCTGGTTCCCCGCTCGCGTGGGGCGGGAGCCGCAGCCGGGACCTGCCCGCGGCCAGCCCCGGCCGGCCGGGCTGGGCTGCGGGCCCCGGGCCCCCCCGGCCGGCACTCCCGGGGCCGCTCCGGCCGCCAGGCCGGTCAAAGAGTCCGCCGGGAAGGCTGTGGGTGCGTTTTGCATCCTCGGAATTATTCTTTAATATATTAAAATAATAATAAAAAAACCCCTCCGATTTCTCAACAAGCGCATTTTCATAGACTTGTGTATGGTGATTGCTTTGTACGAAATCGTGTTTGGGTAATAATATTGAAAATCAGGGCCGTGTTTATCGTATTTCATACCTAACAGCTTGCTCTGCCCAGCGCTATGTTCCTCTTTAGATCCCTCTTTCAACCCATGCTGTGACCACCCTCCCGTAACAAACAATTGCTTAGCAACACTATGCAGCACAATTTGCTTGTGCTTCATTTGTTATTACAATTTCACCCCGACAATGTGTGACAACTGATTGTTTGTTTAACACAATTTTCCGTTTGCCAGGTTAGCGAAGAGCGCATGGGAAATGAGAAACTCCGAGAGCAGGTTTTGCGAAGCGGGTATCAAACCTGGGGTTTCATGGCAAAACTACTCAGACTAAAACAAAATAAAACAAAAAAAAAAGAAACCTTCCCCACTGGGGGGACAAATTATTTGGAAAATATAATCTCTAAATTAGGAATAAAGGCAAGCGTTGTAGCATGGTGGATCATCCGTCAGGGGAGCAAAAATCTCTTCGGGCAGCCGAGCTCCCGGCCGGCCCGGGCGGTGCGCGCTCCGCCAGTGCCGCGGCTCCTCCGCTGCCCACTCGTGTCCCGCGGTGCTGCTTTCACCTGGGAGAAGCCGGACAGGCGCGGACATGAAGCCCTGAGGCAAGTGATGCTAAACACCCGAGAAGTCGGCCCCGGCGGCGGCTGTCCCCACCGAGGGTGTCCCCACCTGCGAGCCCCCGCAGGAGCGGGGCTCCGGGGGTCCCCGCTTTGCTCCCCGAGGGGCGGCAGTCCCGGGCTGAGCGCTGTCCCCGCCGCCGCGCAGCGCCCGCCCCGAGCCCCCGGGGCAGCCGCGGGATGCTCCGCTCCTCTCCCCTCCGGGCCGGAGCCCGAGCGGGCCGTGGCCCGGCTGCCGGCCTCCCCTCAGGCCTGGCTCTCCCGGGGACCCCGAGCCCGGCTCGCCCGGAGCCCCGCTCCCCGCCGGGGCTGCGCAGGGCACCGGAGGGATGCTGTCGCGCATTGCTGCAGAGCCGCTGAGGACGTGAAGGAGCATCCCGATGGCGGCATTAAGCAGGCGCTGCTCGGCATGCAGCGCGACCGGCTGCACTCAGGGAATTAGTGACCAAAAAACTCCAACAAACCGAAACTCCCTCTACGAGCCTACCCACAAACAAACAAAAAATAAAGAAAACTCTCAAAACATCAACAGAAAAAAAAAAAATCCCAAATCTAACCAAAAACCCGCCGAATCCTCTGTCAAATAGTTTCACTTTCCATCAAATTTGAAAAACTTGCACGAAGTTCAGGTCTAAAAGCCAAAGGCTTAAAGAAATGGTTAGGCAGATAAATTGAAGTAAAAACCGATGCAGCTAATTAATCACATTGCGCTGTATCAATAAAGCGAGAATTTAGTGTTGGCATTCTTTTTTTTTAACGCTTATACAAATCTTTCTGTACAAATACGTTTCAGATCATTCTCAGGTGCGATTTTAAATCCTGGAATATCGAAGAAAGGAAGGCTAAAGATAAAGTGCGAGTAAGCGCTAACGAGGATATTCTTTGTTGAGGAAAAATAATGTGTTCCTCGTAAACGGACTCTAATGGCTTGTTTTCATTTCATGCGTACAATTTCCTACCTTCTTTGATGGAGAGTTGATGGGGTAAATAGTCTAATCTTATTCAGTTCACCTCCTGTGGATTCCCAGGGACAGTCGTGACAGACGAAGTATTCTGCAAATCACAAGAGCCAGCTACCAGGAGAGCCAAACCTCTTAATAGGAAGAGTTTTAGGGAGGATTTAAAATTTCTCCATTTAAAAATTCACGGAACATGCAAAATATGAAGTTCTCTGCATCATTGCAACTTTGTGGGCTTTGTTTTCTAAGCTAGATAATTAAAGATTAAAAAAAGAAAAGAAATAGGCTCAACTCAGATCGGAAGCAAATTGGAATACCTACCACACCCGGGGATTTGAGATGGCACTGGTCTTCAACGTTTGCGTCTCTTGGCTTGTTTTAAAAATAAAAGGTGATACCTGTCTGAATCTGTTAAAAAAGGAAAGAAAACAAAAAAGGAAAGAAAACGGATAGATTGAAGTGTACAATATTCACGTGTCGTTGTTCCGCCAGGTCACCTAGAAAAATAATAATTAAAAAAAAAAATAGTTCAGTTACTCAGTGAAGACGTTGTTGCTTCACTGCATAAACCTTAAATCAGAGAAACACATACTCTTCAATGCCCGTTCAGTCCTCCGAGCCGGGGACGCAAGATTCGAATCCTGCTACAGAAACACTTGGAGTGGGGGGGCGTTGCATGTTTATGTGGCAGTTTATTTTTTTTTTTAAGTGCTTCTTAAGCAGTTCGAAGCATAAATAATGAATCTGAGCCTTAGACAGAGGAAATCGCACCCACTAATGTGAACTAACACGACCAAAGTAGGCGCATAATAGACAAGACTAGGAGCTGCTAACCACTTCTACACAATGGCATTAATAAGATTAACCTGGGCAATTAGCCGGTGCAGCAGAGATCAAGCCTAAATCTGGGGCCTTTCTAAAAAGCCCACTAATGGAAAGGATTACGTTAATTTCATTAATTCTCAATACACAGACTGGGGCTGCTTTCACTCCTTTGTGCAACCCCCACCTCTTCCCCACCAAAAAAGGGGAGAAAAAAAAAAATCAAATCTGGTTTTGTTTGTCATCTGCATATTACCAGGAACTAAATCCAGGATGACGTCGCCTGGGTATAAAAAAGGGAAGAGGTTCAGATGGATTATACTCCGAGCAGCCCTCTGGGTTGAGATCAGTAAACAGGCGAGAGTTGAGGGGGGAAAGTTCCAGGGGTGGATCCTGCGCACACGCACACACACCGCACACGCGCGCACAGACACACACGCACACTCTGCCCGCAAGCTGCCCTCGGAAAAGGCTCTTTTCTTTTCGCTCCGATCCCTTTTTAAAATTTATCCGAAAAGTTTCGGTTTCGTGTCCTTCCAGCCTCTGCCCCCCCCCCTCCCCAGCCACCACCTACCCT